TGGTAGCGCACGCCTGTAGTTCCAGCTACTTGGAAGGCTGAGGCGGAAGGATCGCTGGAGCCCAGCAGGTCGAGGCTGGCCAGAAGCGAGCCCAAAAGCGGCCACTGCACTCCACTTGGCAACAGAGTGCGACTCTAACTCAGAAAAAAAAAAAGTTGCTTTCAAAAAGCAAAAAGAAGGCCAAGCATCATGTCTCATGCTTATAATCACAGCACTTTCAGAGGCTGAGGTGGGAGAATAGCTTGAGTCCAGGAGTTCGAGACCAGTCTAGGCAACATAGCAAGACTTCATCTCTATTAAAAAAATCAAAAAAATCAGCCAGGCATGGTGACACGCACCTGTAGTCCCAGCCACTTAGGTGGCTGAGGCAAGAGGACCTCTTGAGCACAGGATTTTGAGGTAGGGTGAGCTGTGATCGTGCCACTGCACTCTGACCTGGGCAACAGAGTGAGACCCTGACTCAAAAAGCAGAACTAAGCAAAAAGAGCTCTTAGAAAATAATATGATAGCATGACTGAGTAATTTAATTAGGAGGTTTAGTATATAAAGTTGGTGAAATTTCTCAGAAAGTAAAGACAGGTGAAAATATCGAAGAAAGAAAAGAAAGTTAACAGCCCAGGAGGCTCAATATTCCATTTCTCCAAGTTCCAAACCAAAGAAGAAATCAGTAGAGTATTTCAGTAAATTTCCCCAGTACTGAAGAACATTAGATTCGAGACTGAAAAAGCACAGAGGATGAAAAAAACATACCAAAGCACAGTGTTAAGAAATTTCAAGGACGCTGGGGTCAAAGAGAAGATAGGCTATTTCCAGAGGAAAAGAGCAGTTCAGATACCAAGGAATAAGAATCAGAATAATGTCAAGTGTCCACAGAAACAGTTCCTTCAAGCTTTTTATTTTTATTTTATTTTATTTTACAGAATAATAAATGGCTTTATCACATGAGCTCGGGAAAAGGACTTACTTGCCTTTCCGGGCCTTGATTCTCCTCAGGCCGAACGCCAGCTCCTGGCCTTCGAGCACACAGCCATCTGCTCGGCCACACTGGGCAGGTCCCCATGCCGAGCAAGCAAGAAGTTGGCCCTGCTGGAACTGCTCCTCCAGAAGACTGCTGATTTGGGCATTCTTTTTCCTTTCATCATATTTCTTCTGAATTTTTTGGGATCGTTTTTTGTTTAAAATCTCTTCCTCCTCAGGAGTCAGCTCGGCCCCCTTCTTGCGACCCAGGGGCAGCGCACAGTGGGACTCACCAGTGTCGGTATGGTGTGCTGCCAGGAGCACAATGCAGTTCTTCACTAGGGTTTTAGTGCGAACCAACCCGTTATTGGAAGCTTTGTAGGCAACATCGATGATCCTTGTTTCCCGAGTACAACACTCAGAGCCCCAGGAAAGGTTGCCCACCTCCAGCCTCAGGGCACGTATTTCTGGTTACCTCCCCGCACTCGGACCGTGTGGATGCGGCAGGGCCGATCTTGGTGTTGGCAGCCCGGCGTCCCAGCTCATCCTTCCTCTGCTTGTGGTAGGGCTTTCTCTTGCCCCCAGTCTTGCGGCGCTTGTGCCAGTTGTCCCGGGAGATGCCCATCGCTCGGCGCTGGTTGGAAAGAGATTTTTGTTTTTTTATTTTTTTTGAGTTGGTTTTTTTTTTAATTTTTTTTTTTTTTGAGTCGGAGTCTCACTCTGTCGCCCAGACTGGAGTGCAGTGGCTGCTCCCGGCCACCGCGGCCTCGACCTGCCGGGCTCCAGCGATCCTTCCGCCTCAGCCTTCCAAGGAGCTGGAACTACAGGCGC